TCCCCGACATACAATACAGTTCACTCCTCTACAGTGGCAAATCACCTGTTGACATGACTAATTCCTTTATACAGAAGGAATGGCATTTTTTAATCAGTGGGATTGTCTATGAGTGGAATATACCAACACCAGGTACACCAGAAAGAGAGAGACAAGCACGGCACTGTCCAGGAACTGTTCTGGGAGAGCACTGCGTGGAGACAGGCACATGCCAGCTGTCCCCACCTGGGTGAGTAGCAGCAGTTCACCTGCCCATCAAACCAGTGAAATCTATTCCTATACTCTCTTCTCCATAAAACCCTTCTCACACACCCAAACACTACTGGGGAGCCACTTTGTAACTAAGACTAATGGCTGAGGTGCATTAATCTCCATAGGAGGCCTTTGAAGAACGTCTCTCTGTCCCTAAAGCAGGCACTCGTAGCAAACAGCTTCACCAGGCACTGAAAACCCAAGTGGAAATTCGTAACACCATCCTGTAATACCAGTTTGTCTCTCTGCAACCTCTGTTGAGAGAGTGGCTTTCACACTGTTCTTCGTACCTTGAACACGGTCGCAAACCACAGAATCTGAGATTTAGAGTAGCTTCCTTCAGCTGGCCAACTTTAAGAGGGATATACTGGCTGTACTGCCAGAATGACTAGAAAACTCCTGGGATTTTTGTGTTATGGATCAGGCCACTGATGGATTATTTTCTGCTTCCTTTAATTTAACAATAAAAGCAACAAATTTTCTTATCTCCTTCCTTTTTAAATACTTTATGGAAACACTTCAGTGGCAAAAAAAGATTGTTTTCCCACATCTTACATCTCTGTCAATGCTACATTTCAGTCATCTAAAGCAGGATAACAATTCTTATTTTTAAAACTTTTCTGTGTAATGGAAAGATCGACTGGAGAAAAATTAACATTTAATCCCCAAAAGCAGAGTTCCTGACTGGATTTGAGAATCTGGCAATCAGTACTTATCCCTGATAACAATAAGTTCAATATTTTTTCTTTTTCACAATCATTGCATACTAGATACAACTTCATCAGTGCAGTACATGACTTTGTCTTTACAATGTTCACATTTGCATCACCTAGGTCTTTTTTTTTTACTGGTTTGTAAACTTACTGCCAATGCAGCTGGATTAAATTCTATGATATAGTGAAGGTTGCCTAAACCTAACCAAGGACTCCACATTTATGGTTAGCTCAAGTACTTTACATGCAACTTTACTGAGTCTCTCCTTAACTCTACAATAGAGCTTCTGGCTCATGTTATCTTTTCCTTTGGTACTTTATTTGTACTACATGTTTTCTCCAGATGAATATTTCCTGTAAGGAAGGATGCCCCTGCACATAAATTAGCTGCCTTCTATCTCAGCTTTCTTCGTAGACTAAGGAAGGCAAAACAGTAGGGGATAGAGGAACATTTCTGTAGCAACATTTTTATTTGGCTTTGGATCTGCTGTAGCATCATCTAGAGGAGTAGTCAACCTTTCCTCCAGTCTTGACATCTTTGTGAGCTGAAGATATAAATTGCTTCACTGGTTTGAGAACTTCAAGAATGGGGAAAAAAGTTGTACCAAGTATAAAGAAAGAATATAGCTAGAGCTGGTGTGAAGGAATTAATTCAACTTCTGCAAGGTGGATAATAACCGTATATACAGAAACTGTAGTTTCAGAAAATTGATTCATCTCATTATTTTATTAAACCTTATCCAGGTCCATTATAACCTTGTCTCAAGTGAAATCCTTGTAACCCGCAACATGTCATGCTAATAAATGAGATTTTAAATAGGTAACTATTAGCATGTTTTCAAAGAGAAGTGGACAGGCTCTATTTTGGCTGTTCTGTGACTACATCTCTGAGGGTAGGGAAGATAGTATGTTAAAATCAGCAGTGCACATCTTTTACACATACCATCTCCTTTCGTTCAGGCATACACACAGTTGCTGCTGAAGGAGATGAATTAACTCTTAGAATAGATGAGAACAGAACCATATGGCCCTGAGCTTACTACAGTCACAGTAGATTCATTATGTCATATGTAGCAAGTTCAGTACCCTGGCAATATCATGTTATTTCCTTCATCTACTGCCACATTTCGTTGCTGAGATCCCTGGCTGTTGGCAGTATTGGATCACTGAGTTCTGTCCTGCTCCTACAGTGCTAATTCCCAGGCCCTTCATTTTGTATCCAAACATATTTTTTTTCTGATAAATTAACTTCACTAAATCAATTCTTTTAGTTGCTTACTCAAACTTCCAGAAGTCTTCACAACTGTCAGTGTTAAAGTCAGTTTTACCAAACAAGTGGTTGGAAAAGATGCCACCTTTATCAGGTGACAGCATTGAAGTCAATAATAGCATGCATAGATAAACTCCATCACAGTTGAAAGTAATGAAAATGGACACAATTAGAGTGGCTTGTGTAAATACTTAGCTGAGGAGAAAAGCACCATCAAGCAAGCTTACAAAATCAAGCTGACAGGAAGCATATGCACACAAATTCATGTAGTTCAATGTAAGACACTGTAAAGTGAGAGTGTATATTTATGAGCCCATAGGATCTCTCGTAAAACTACCTTAGTCCCAAAAACAGTGGGCCCTTTTATTTTGACAGCAGGGTCAGGCCCCTGGAGAACATTAAGGATTAGAAACAGATTAAAGTACTCCTTCTTCTCCCATCAAGATACCCAACCTACCAGAGAAACATGGTATGGGATAGGAAGGTTCTGCCATTGAAAGAGATTCTGTGATACTCAGTCAAAATACTGATACCACTGCCAAATAGAGTGGCTCTGATGGTTTCATAAAGAACCACCTCTATTTAAACAGTAAGATAAGGATTGTCCCAGTTTCCATCCTACTATTGAAATCATGTTGCAACTCCCCGAGCTGAAGTTTCTCACAGAAATCATTAAAAATCTGCATTTAAAATGCTATCTGCATTGTTTCAGAGAAGACATTTACTGCATGTCATGGTAGAGTTGTGCGCTTGAAGATAATTTACCCTTGAGAAAAGTAAGGTTTTTAAATTTTAAAATTGAATTTTAAAATTAGAAGTTCCTTTCAGGCATGTTGTCTTTCCTTGTAAACATGCTAGACCACTTAAGAAACTCACTAACTGCCCAACTGTATTTTTCTGAGGCATTTAAGTTAAAAGTTCTATAGAGCAATGACATGATGTTTGTGTATTTTACTATGTACAACATCTTTTCAATAAACAGCACCTTAATTCACCTTGTAGAATCAAGCAATATAGTGATTTAAATAATAGATGGTAACAGCACAAGCCAGGAAAGTAAACAGTAAATAAATAAGTGAAAGAACTACTAACAGTCTGAGTGAGAAGGATTGAATCTCAATCTTTTCTCTTTAAGCCCTTGTAATTAAGAGTAAATACTCCTGAAGGAATACGTATAACTTCATAGAATTGCTGCATTTCTCATCATTAATGAGATATCGTAGTGATGAGATGGCCTTCTTAGTAGGAGGTTTCCAAAAATGTGAAGGGGAATGGGAGACAGCACATGAAGGAATGACATCCAGTGGATCGGAAAATCCCCTTAAAATATCTAAAGGATGGTTTCCTCACACTGCCTAGTGTGATTAAAGATAGCAACTGCAGGTGTAGTGCCTGCAGTTGCATTCAGAACACTCGAGAAGCCAGGTCCTCGGGGCCAAGTGTTAAGTGAAGACATGAGGGTTTTCTGGCATCTTGTTGTTCGTAGCTGACAACTGTGCCCTGTCAACCTAAAAGAACCATAGGAAAACCTCTAGATATCCATGCTATAACTACCACCTCCACTGTGAAAGTCAAAAGATCAAACCCAGTCCCTGATGTGAGGCTTTAAACTGAAGAGAATGGAGCTTTAAATTAAAAGAGATTGAATTTCTCTAAACTCCAGCAGATTACAGACCAGCAAATGTAGCATTCAGCAGATCTAAGGGTGGCTCTTTCAGAGCTGTTGCTGTTAACATAAGGTAAACTGTTGATGCTATGTAGAACTGATACTCCTGCTCTTTCACATCTCCTTACAGGAGGAAACCTAAAACACAGTGAAAGTAATCCTACTTTTACACCAAGAACTTTGACCTACAAACTTACGGAATTAATTAAATGAAAATCTGACTTAAGATAACCTTGAGAGCTTGAAATCATGCTGAAATATGGTTTAAATTTAGGTGATCTACTAAGACTATAATTTTAAATTTCAGATATGCTTGTTTCTATAACTATCATCCATAACAGTGTGGCTGTAACTCAAAGTGTCATGCATTTATTAGAAGACAAACAGAAATGTACTCAATATAATTGTCAGGCAAAATGTTTCCCCTGCTACTTCAACTATGTCATTAACAATAGGAGAATTGCAACTGATCTGAACTAGATAGAAATATACAGTGCTTAAAAATTAATGAAAAAGCACATAAAATTTTTCATTGAAGAATTTTGTTAGACTTCTACTTGCTATTGAAGGTCAATTTCCTTTCTTTTTTTAAATTTACAGAAAGAAAACTGTAGCTGTCCAAAGGACAAAAGCAGAGAGCCGTATTTTCAGATCCATCTCATTATACAATGTTTGAATGCAGCTCATTCAAACAGCTCATATACAATGTTTGAAGCAGATCCTGCTGTTACAGCTATCACCTAAAAAAAAACCTCTTCACCTGCTTTATTGGATTCTTTAGGGTAAAAGTAATGAGTTAAAGATAGTTGGAGCTGGATTGGTAGCTGTAAGTTTGGTAGTGCATGCAGGAGACTGTTAGATCTTTAAAGGCTTTACTTTTTTTTTTCCTGATTTTTTATCTGCTTTTGTTAGTTTTGATGTCACTCAGCTGGTTTCTCCGTTCTCCCAAGATAGATGAGGGATTCTTGTTTCTCTTCTGAAAAAAAGACCTTGTGTCCTGTAGTATGTTCTGGGCTGTATCCCACCAGATGACACTATGGGCATGCTCCACACTCCTTTTGAAACATCTGCACTCTTAAAAAGACCGTAAAAGTTTAGGATATATGAATCTACTGACAAGGTAAGTCTTATTTGTTAGCATATGAAGAAAAAACTTCAGACATGACAAAGACTAATTTCACCTGCTAGACCTAACTATGACAAACTGGAAATGCATCTTAGAAAGGAGTTGAGGTTAGAAGGGGGTTCTATGACGCAGTTGAGAGACTCATTTTTGCTGTTGCATTACTCTTCCACCTTCCTGTTACTCCAGAGCTGTATTCCCGTAAGGGATGAAAGCAACAGTGAGAGGAAAGAAATTTAGGTTAACACAGAAGATAGAGGTCAGATGCAGAATCCTCTCCTTAACTAGACAGGGATTGAATCCTCACACTGCTCTTACTATGCATAAATTCTGCACAGTTTCTCAGTATATTCATCTCCTTTTAGAATTTTGTAGGCTATTGCTACATTTGAGAGAGACTCTGAATCTTGGAATCTGCTCGAAAGACTAGGAGCAAGAGTGCTTCCACCTTGCACAGTAGAAATCCTCATTGTTGTCTGATGACAAAAAATTTTAACTCAACTTCAGCTAATCAGCAGAGATTTGGAACACCTCTGTGAGTAGTACGTTAACCTCAGTGACTTCAGTCCAATCTGGCTAATAACTAACTGGGATGAATACAGATTTCAATTTGTTTCTTAGTGAAAGCTAAAATATTGGCACTTAGTTCAGACTTTGATATCTGGAGGAGAAAAGTGAAAACTAGACTTTACAAAGAACTAAGAAAATATACTCAGGTCCAGATTTATCAAATTACTTAAGGACCTATTCTTTGTTAACACTGAAAACTGAGGTAACTTTGCCTATGATTTCTAGGCAACAATAAACTCAGAGGAGGACTAAATGCTGCAGATCCACACAGCATCCCTGATGCCCAGAAAACAAATGGCCACAGTCCCAAAGCACAGCAGATATGCAGTAGCTTCAATTTATTTGGGAGATGCTGGCCCTGCTTCACATGCTGTGCAATCAGTCTGCACTTTTAAGTATAAATAACACATCTTCTATACACGGTGTTGCGGAGGTGCTTCCCACATGCACAGTGAATTTCTTAAGATCCAAATCCACGTCCTTTTCCCAGTCTGAGAGCAACTGCTGCCGTGACTAAAACATCTCAGAAGAGCCTCTGAGAGATGTCACTATGGGATATCCTGGCAAGGACATTCCCACCTTCTGGTAAACCTGTAATATTGCACAGTGAGGAAGAAAAAACTCCAAGGTGCTACAAAGAGAGAAGTAGAAACTTCACGTAGAGTTTAGGCCACAGACTTGGACAAGGGCAACTAAGATCAAAGTTCAACTCCCTCTAAGCTTCAAACATGTGACGTTACGCTCTCAGTGGATGAAGACAAGAAGTGTCTGGGAGCTGGAAGGAGAGCTCTGTGTCTTTCACTGTCTGAACCAGGGCTCTAATCCTAGGCTATTATGCCAAAGACACTCATCATCACTACACAAATACTGTTCCTCGTAGACTGCCTGAGAAAAACAGATGCCTAAAATAGGTAGGCGACATTTTCCCTCTGAGCATATCAGAGAGATCCTTCTCATTCTCTTGACTAGGTAGGGTGCTTGTTTTCAGAGGCTCTTAGGTGAAACAGTGCTCCCATTTGCTTCACATCACGTGGCTGAGCAGGTAGACTGGATTGCAGGTATATTTTCAAACCCTTTTTTTGTAGTGTTATGCCCCAATATAATTTCCTTTTTACAGGACTTTCTCATATGAGATCTTAAAGCAGCATAACTGAAGCAGGTCGTAGATCTAAAAAAGAATCTACACATGTAAATAACAAATATAGAAATAGTAAATATTGAAAAAAACCCCTGCTTATGCAAATTAAGCCATTTGACAATATTTTTAAATTTATTTTAACCTGCTCTCACATATCAAATATTCTGTCCTATCCAAATGATATTTCACACCATATGGTATGACGGATGCAGAGTCTCCTGATGTAATCTAAATGACAAAATAACTTTCTCTCTTCAATGCCTTGTATGTGATAAGTTAAAATGCAACTCTAAAGCATCTACAAGAGAGGGAGATGTTATTTTTTGTCTTACTGATTGAAGGACCTACGACTAACATTTAGTTAATATTTACGTAGTTCTTTGATGCTCTGAAGCGCTAAGTGAGACACTGCAGTGTTTCTATGAGGCCTTTTTGTACAGATTCAGCTAAACTATCGTCCCTATCTAAAAGCTTGTAAATACCTTCATTTGTATGGTAACACTATCTTTAACTTCTATTTGGCCAGCACAGAAAGTTTGGGAAGTTTGCTATGTCACATGAATATTGAAACAAACTTGAATCCATAACAGTGCCGATTCTTTCCTTCTAAAGAATCAGCACACTCTTATTTCTTGATAACTAAGAATGACTAGAGCTGTGCTTTTCTCATTGATTTTATTTGCAATCACTTCTTAATCCCTTTCATTGCTGCTGTTCTTGTTTAACAGAATAGTGACTGTGGTATTAATCCTTGACACTTTAGGTTCCAGCTAGCAATATCTTTAGTAGCCTCGAGTTCTGCATTTGAGGTAATAAAACCTTAGCAACATGAGACTTCTGGCATGAACTTCAGATACATTTTCTATTCCTGAAGAAAAAAATTATTATTTGAATTCACATTAGCATTTTGAAGTTTTAAAATAGTGTTTACAAGGTATCAGTAAGTAACTACATGTACTCATTTTTCAGATTTTCTCAAGGGCTCTTAGACCATGAAACAAGTTACATTAACTCCAGTCTTAATTCTTTTCTGGGAAAACTTATGACTGCAATGGAATTTTCAGTATTTTGGCTATCCATTAGAAATCAAACTGAGATGATAAATGATAAAGATGTCTCCCCCTGAAGAATCACTTATGTGTAAATTCTCCATGCAATGTTTTCGAAGGTTCATAGGAAGAGGCAAAAAATCAATTTTCTGATCTGTAGAGCTCTCCAGTATCTGAAATATGTTTCATGGACCCTCCTGTAACCCTTCCTACAAGCAACAGGAGAACGGAAAACTTCTGGAAGGAGGCTTCTCTGTTCTAGTACTTACTTATCACTTCATGATCAGTCAAACTGTTGGACACTGAAGTTTGGCACCACTTTGGAATCTTAGCCTCCCCCTTTCATAACCCGTGGAAGGTATTGCATGAAGGGAGATCCAGTAGGGGATTAAACAGATTTGATACTTAAGGAGTAAAATATGGGAGATAATTGCTAGTGCCTTGTGGATTCTACATCTATGTATTTTTTTTGAAGCCCACCATTTGCTGTAACATTGAGCGCCACTGTCTCAGCTTTCATTCTAACAGAATTGAGAGGGAAATCTTCAAAAACAGTAATGAAAGTGACAAAGTTGACCAGACACTTTTGGGGTTTTAGTGCATTTGAATCTTAGGGTTGATAGAAGTTCTGACAAAATATTTTTCTTCTGGTTTAAAGAATTCACATTGTTTTCCCACGTGGTTTTGCACCTGTATAGTAATGCATGTTCTCATTCAACAGCCTTGCTTTTAGTGAGGACTGTATCCTTTGTCTTCTCAGAACATACCTGTAAGACCTACAGATAGCGAGAGTCCTCTGCTTTTGACTTAAATCCAGCTGAACAGTGAGTTCATGTTCAGAAGTTAAGGACAACCAGACAGTGATCTGGTAAGTCTGATTCTTTAGGAATCATGTTAAGAATATTAGTATTGTTTAAAGTTGCACAAAAAAACTTGAACATATGAATACTATCAACCAATTAAAGTGTTTCTATGAGCCAGCAGAAAGCTCAAACCAATAGTTAGGAACTTTGTTTCCCTACCAGTTGTGTTAGCAGGAAAAAAAAATAGAACTTTTTCCCATACAAATTTCAGTTAAACTCTTCCTTCCTCTTCAGAGGACCTTACTGCGAAGAGTAAAATGTCTAACTCTCCTTTGATCCCTTCTGTAGAGCAGTTATGCATTCAGAGGAAAAAAAAATCTTTGGTCCTTTGAAAATAGAAATTGCTTGAAAAGTACAGCAAATTTAATCAAATAACTTATTGATTAATACAGAGAGGATGCTACTGACTGTGATATTTATTTGGTTCATGTTTAATCATTGAGATTTCAGGTGATTGCAAAATAAATTTTGAGCTCCTCTTTTACCTGAAGAGTACGCTAATTATTTACCATAAAAGCCAGTGGTTTAACTTGTATGATGGAAAAAAATTGACTTTCAGTGGACTTCATGATTAAGCATTAATAGTAGAGGCCTTCTTTCTAGCTAAAAATTAAGGAAACATATTACCACTTCTGGGAACATCCTGAAGACAGTTAATGTTTTATGTGTAGCGGGTGCTGATGTAGGTCATAAAATTTACATATGAAAAATATTAGATGTTTTGATATTTTTCAAATTTCTGCTTAGGTATGCAGCTATTCAACACTACATGCTCACCAGCAGAAGACAAATTTTGATCATCAGCCCCAGCTGATTTACTAGATTATGAAATTGTGCAGTATCACTTTATTCTCTGTAATACCTAAACCACTGAGTCTGGGTAGTATTCAATAATCATAGTATTAATTCATTTATTTATTATAGTGTCATTAATTCCATCAACACGACTGTGACATTCAAAGAAATGTCAATGACTTCACAATTCTGCAACAGATTACAAACTGCAGCCAGTAGTTGTAAATGTCAAATTTTCTGTTTCTGCAATATTTGTAGCAGGCTGAACTACAATTTAGAGCAGGGAAAAGCTAGCTTGTTTCTCACTTTTGGAAAGAAAGAAAAACATTGCTAGAAGCAACTAGACACTTGTGTGATAATCTTTAAAATGTCTTCAGAGTTACTAGCTTGTTTGAAATAGAGAAGAAATCTCTGGTTTGGAACTAAATATTTCATAATCAAGAAAGATTTCTTGGCTGTAACACAGTTGGACTGACTGCATTCAGTGCTTTTTGTCCCAACAATGCTGCTTTCATTTGGTCGAATAGGAATAACTATGCCAATTTTCCATTTGTTCTATATGGGTCAGAGAGTTGGATACCTATCTATTAAAATATTTGAGTGTAAAGACCTGTAAGAAGACTATAAAGGTGGTCTGCAGTTGTTCCCTCCTTTCTTCTGCAACAGTAATATTCAATAAAATTATTACTTGCTTAGAGATCCACATATCTGCCATAGCCTTTGCCTGTCTTTCCAGTCTCCAGTCAGGTACTGACTGGTATCTTCATGCCCATTAGGAACTGGGCCAGAAACAGCAATGAAACTCAGAAATGGAAAAAGAATTGACATTCTGCTCTTCCACATAGTTAAGCTTTGCTTAGAATACAAATAATGAAACGGAGGGAAAGAAAAAAGTTAACTGTTAGTAAAATAACCAAGGGAAAACCTTGAAGTGATACTTCTTAGAAATACTAGCAGGAACACCTGACTGTATGGCTAAAATGACAGATAGCTGTCATACTGTTTCAGTTTGTTATAGTTATCTTTAGATTTAACATGCTTCTTCCTTCTATCTTACATCGTACCAAGTTCATTTCTTCCCTAGAATTTTTCTGACCTTGAAGATACACCACTGTTTACATCAATGTCTTTTGATCCTGAACAGCATTTGTCAAGACAAACAAGCTAAGCTCCATCACTGACACAGCAGCTTGAACTTTTCAGATAACACAGGATTTCATTCACTCTGAAAAATGGGATTATTCCTAACATAGCTTTGCATCAAGCTAAAAATAAAAGAGCTCAAACACATTGGTTATTTTCTCTTTTTGACAGTACAATTGAGCAACAGGCTTATTAATTTTACAGATATGGATCTCTTGGGGCCAGACCACTGAAGACAAAAAAAACCCATCCTGTAATATCTTTGAATTTTGAGCTCTTGGGGAAGATACCAAACCTTTTTTTTTCCTCTGCAAAACGGGATATTAATACACACTTTCTGTTATCAATCAATAAAGCTTGTAGAGCTTTACATGTGTATGCAGCTGACATACTAATCAGGAAGATAATATCCAAAATACTAGGCTGAATCTGAGTGACTGTGAAAGAATGAAATAAATGAACTTTACATTTATGTGTCACTGTTTGTAGAAATTCAATAACAGCTGAAAGAAAGAGTTAAGGTTTGAAGCAATAGACATAGCTAGGATCAGAGCTGATCAATACGTGGAAGTTGTGGGGGGAAGATAACAACATTTGAACGCTGATTAAAAATGCGGGAGAGTCAGTTCATGTCCAGACTGCTTAGCAACTACCTATGATGGATGATGATGAAGTGTAGGAATTACAAAGATATGACTACTGACTCCCTCTTGTTTATCAGTACCTCTGCTTTAATAAGGTATACAGGGTTAGGGTGTTCCAATAGGTGTCCTTCCTAGTTATAGGGAAGGGAAGCGGGGTTTGCCATTATGTGAGTGTGATCAATTATGTATTCTATCCCATTTTGTTATGCCTTGATGGACTGTCTCCTTAAGTAGGGGAGGCAGAACTGTTTTTTCCTTGCCTGACTTGCAGAAGGGAATGGATGGGCCCCCTTTCAAAGCTGCTGGGTGGAGGCAAAAGGGTGGTCGTTGTTTTGCCCAGGAAGGGAGAGAAGGAGCTGTCCCTGTCAGAGTCATGGCCCAGCTCCAGAGTCACTGCACTGCTATCACTTTGCCGCTGGGTTTGCAGCTGGAAGCTGCAGCAAACCTGAAATTGCCTCTTTGCCACAGCTTCTGCAGCCAGAGTCAGCATTTTTGTCAATATAACTCATTTCGGATGAAATAGTGTTCCAGGTCTTCCTTTGCCCCTGTTCTACATTGTTTTCTGGCTGAGAGAGGGTTTTAAACTACAGAAACTCATCTGCCATATTGGTTTTTTTTGTTTGTTTTCCTGACCACATGATCCAAAGGCAGGGAGGAGCCTCTCAGCCATTTTTTCTTTGTCTGGGGAAACCACGTGCTGCCATTTTGTTTTTGTCCTAGGGGCAGGGGGGCTGGGAAACGATTTCTACCTTTGTTGCTTTAAACTGTTTTCCTTTTTATCTTTGTAGCTACTGCTATTTCCTTTAGTAAATTGCCTTTTTTTTTCGCTCTTATATTGTTTCTTTATTATTGGAGGGTGGTGACGAGAGGTTGAAACAAAAAGGGAGTGACTTGTTTAGACTCTCAGTCCTCTGGTAACTGTCCAAAGCCATCAAAGCAGGTCTGACAGCACTGGTCAATAAATTTACCACTGACAGATTGTTCAGTTGCTATTACAACGAGTTAAAGCTTTATAGTTTTTGTCTGTCTGGTATGCAATGTCATTGGAAAGGATTATGATTATGACTGTTTATTTCAATGCCACTTTTCCTTCTCTTTGCACTGCGTATCCTCAGATTCATGGTTTTCATGGTGACTGGTCATGGTCATTCTTGGTTTGCAAAACTACGAACTGGAGTCACCAAAGAGTCTGTGTAGAGGTTTCACAGTGTATGTATTTTTCATTGAAGATATTCATGGCAGAAGTCATAATCTAAACAGAAAAAATTGTCAAGAGAGAGGAAAAATGCAATAGCTTATCCAGTGTGTAGACAAAACAAAGAGGGAAGAAATAACTGCCATAAAACTGATGAAAAATCAGAGCTATGAATTAAATCCATCTCTCCTGAATTTCAATCCATTATCTTCACCACAATGTCATCTTTTCTTCTGATTTAATATTCACAGTTTATACTTTCATCCAAACAGGTAACCTTTCTTTAACATCTGTACAGTGTCATAATCTGCCAAAAGTCCTGTGGTGTGTTCTTTCCAAGTTTAGAGATGATTTTCCTGGGTTTGTGCATTCTCCAAGGTTATTGAAAAGTCTTCCTTTTATAGTAAAATTTATGTGGAAAGTGAAAAGCCCTGTTCTTGAGAATATTCTGAGAAAGTCAATTGCAGTTCAAATGCATTTCTATGGAGGTCTCATGAAACATGGTTCTTTTGGCTGTTTATGGCTTCCTAAATCTATTTTGCATTGTTGAAGACAAGAATTCTACTTGTCTTCTGAATTCTACTGAATTCTAATATGATTATGTATTTCTGGGAATACATACTCTGTAAAAGTTATAGACAGTTTAACATCCATCATCCCATCTACTTACCAGCAGGGTTTTCCTTGAACATGGTGGTCCATTGATCATGTCCATTCCTGGGCTTACCCTAGCTTGAGGTAGGCTTGGGCCCAGTTTAAGGAATCTTTGTTTTCTCTGATGTCAGAATCTCTTAGAAGGCCTGATTGAGGTGTGTGCTACCTGTGGGAGTATGACTTCTCCACCAGAAGAGCTTTCATGATGACTACCTGCTATGGATCATAAAACAGAGTGCAGGAGGATTCCCTGGAAGCTAACAAACAAATTGGGGATGGGACCACTCTTCTTCACATTAAAAAAAAAGGACTCTTTAGCTTTTCCCTCATCATGTGATATCTCAGGCATCTGTTGCATAGACAAAGTGTAAATAGCCTCTGTCTTGTCATAGACACATCTGGTGCTGCTAAGGAGCAAGTATGTATATCAGGGCACGTACATGACCAAATGTATGTACATTCACCTCACACAAATGGATATGCATTATTCTCCATACAGAGTATACCTCTAAAAAATGCACTTTTAGTCATAGGATGAAGGATGAACAAACCACTTGGTTCCTGGCTGTGTTTGAAGGTTTTTGAGAGAAAGAACAGCTGAAGAGTAGAAAATATGCTGAAGAGTAGAAAAAAACTGGTGAATGATATCTTACTGGGAGACCAGATTTATTCTCTTGATCTACATGTAGATTAATTCCTACAAACAAGACGATAGTACATGGAAATTAAAAAATGAATGCAAATAATTACTTCAACTCGGTTTTCTTCAGTGTTTGTTGTTGTTGTTGTTGTTTTGGCTTTTTTTTTTCAGTATTTGAGAAGAGTTCAGCAATTCATTTTCTTGCATATACATAAATACAACTAAATAAATCTATGTACTCATTGAGCTGCTCTTTTGCGGGAGAAGGAAAAAAAAATAACAAAAGAAATGGCTAGGAACTACAAGCAACTGCAGTTAACAGAGGAAAGAGGGTCCTCTCTCTCTCCTTCCTGTGCTGCCTTTCTAACTAATCTAAACTCAACCTGTTCTCACATGGCAGGATGCATAGACATCTCAGTGACTCTCAGTATGACATCACATAAGACTTCAGTGGACTTTTATGTGACCCAAATGCATAGTTTTATCTACGCACATATTAAAAAACTTACTCTAGTGGGAAGAATGCTTTATGCGAAAATCTGCAAGTTAGGTGAGGCTTTCATGTGCTTCCTAATAACTGCTGGGCACCTGAAAACATCTTAATGCTTTTGTATATCCCTGTACTTGTCTTTTTTTATCTTTCAAGAGATTCAGGATATATCTACACTCACATAACGAAAGGCCAGGGAATTGCTTCAGCACTGGACTCCTGATCATCCACATTACCTAACTTCTTGGTGGCTTCCACCTCAGTTATCTCAGGCTCAACATATTTCACTCCAGGGATTCCTCAAAAATGCAGCATATACGAGATGTCATCAAATTTCTCTGCCTCCACCCTGCAAAGTCTGCCAGTACTAAGTCAGTCAGCTCTAAAGCCTTATATGACTTCAGATACTCTTTAGCCACACCTCAGGACATAAACAATTCACTTTGTGTTTCATACAGCTATCACATCATCTCAGACACTTTAGAGTGAATTAAAACATATTCACACAACACGTCATTTATGACTTAACATCACCAGAGGGTATCCCTGGCCAAGGGCTATGTCATGCAAAGGTGGTTGTTCTGTGTGTTACCTGGCCTCAAGGCACTTTTATTATTATGGACAAAGCAGATGTAATACATCTAGTAATAGTAATAGTCTAGTAATAGTAATAGTCTAGTAATAGTCTGATGTAATACATCTAGTCTCCTACTACCAAGAATTATAGATGTTTAGTCCAGAAGTTACGACTTCCACTTCATCAGCTGATACACTACTAACCACTCCATAACTTCCTAAAGCAAATGAACAACAATTCCAAACACTAAAATTCTCATCAAATACGAGGGAAAGGAGAGGAAGAAACCTCCCTGACCTTTGCAACACAGAACCAAAACCTATTGGTTTAAACTGACACAATAGGAACAAGATACTGCAAATACAACCACAAACAGAAGTCAAATATCTTTGACTCTTTTTCAATATACCATTAAAACAAATAGTGAACCACAGCTTACATTATTTAATTGCTTTCAAAAGGCTCTCAGGCATGACTCTGATGAATGTTACACAGGTCCTCTGTAATAAAAAGTTATTGTTAATTCTATGTTAAATATTTCAAAGGTGTTCAGCAATGAGAATAAGTATTTCAATTATTGTGAAACACTGTCAATATTAGAAAAAATCTCTATGATGCTTTCTTCTGACAAACGCTAACTAGGATTTAAATGAGGAAATAATAGCTCCCAGAGAATGAACTTCTCTATAGCAAAAGAGAATGAATGGCAATGTTTGATTTCAGTTACTTCAAAAATAAGAATTATTTGTATCATGTTTACTGGACAAGCTACACTACATATTTTCATTTGTGAAGAGACAGCATCTACTGTTATAGATTAATATATATATTATTCTCCTTTTTTTTC